ATTTCAGGCATTAAAAGGAATACAAAGGCTTATCAGCCTCATTCAAATCACAGTGGTACTTATTTCACGTACAGTTGTGGCCTCAACCCTGGAGTTATGTAGAATCACCCAGAGAGCTTCTTAAAAAAACTGATAATTGAGGCCCTACTTACTGAGATTCTAATTCCGTTGGACTAGGTGCAGACCTGGGCAAAGGTGTTTTTTTAAAAACTCCCCAGGCAATTCTGTTGTGCAGTTAGAGTTGGGAACCTCTGATTTAAACCTAAATTGTCCCTGCTCTTAAGAAAAGCTGAAGCCATTGGAAGATCAAACCTTAAAGCAGGGTGGGGGTGGAAGGGCTGTGAGAGTCATTGATAAAGTGAGCAGAAGTTTAAAAATAGGCCCAGCAACTCCATAAGAAGCAAGTGCTTGGCAGCACCAAAGGAAGAAGTAATCTGTGACTGATATGTCCCCCACTCCCAAACCCCCAGGGGAAACTGCCTGTCCCTAACTGTTGCTCCTTAAAAATCTACTTTCCAGATGGTGCACAGGTTATAACAGTAGATAAAATCTCTTGAGATAAGGAGATAAGTACTCTAATGGTTGATGTACCCAAGTCAGTAAATATTCAGTTGATGAGATAACTTTACATAGAAATGATTTTGTTAAAAACATGAGATCTGTGTCATTTATTTACATTTTACTGAACACCATAGGTTCAGCATTTGTTAGTAAATTCCTTGCTTTATAAAGCAACTCCAGGATGGACAAAGGGTGAATTCACATTGTGTAGCTGGATCATCGTTGCTTAAGCTTTGGCCTTGGTCATCCCCTATCAGTCCTTTGCTACTGATAGCATAACAAAACCCTTATTATGATATGTTTACTATGTCACCACTGCTAGGTCTGACTCCTCTGTATTTCCCTCCTTCAGAGATGGTCCTTACAAAAAGTGGGTAGAGAACGTGCTTTTACCCAGCAGTTGTGTTTTCTGGACGCGTTCTTAATGCTTGCTGCGGGAACATCTTTCTGAGCAAGCAGTTATCTCCTATTTTTAAGGAAGATCCCACCCATGGATAACAAGGCTTCAAGGAGTGAGTATTCACTGACAAACCCCTCCTCAGAGATGTCTGGAGAAGACCCCAAACCACGCACCCAGGGGAATCTCCATGATCAAAAAAGGGAAACTGGTTACACTCTGCCTTTTTAGAGAGATGCCTATAAAAATAGGGGAATGGACATTAGATAGTCCTCTGTGTTTATTTGTATCTCTTCCTTTATGCATATACTTACCTTTATAAATAGCTACAGATTTATTTATTTACTTGATTAAAAGAAGGCCAATAATAACTCTACCTCATCTGGCAGCATTGTAAAGTTTTATTAATGTTTCTAAGATATGAGTTGAACTCACCAGATGAAAGATTCTGTATATGGAATATGTTAAGTGCCCAATCGGGTTTAGTGTGATAATGGCCATAATTGTATGGTGTCCTCCATTGCACGACTTGATTATTGTGGTTTCATTGAGTTAACCTTGAAAAGTGTATTTTAATGCTGAGAATGTCTTTAATATTGGTTGGCAAACATTTGGATATATAGAATATAAGCTTATGTTTTAGTTAGCCCCAATTAGTCGATTCTTGATGTAAAAGATGTTTTACAAAGCAATGTGGGTTTTTCTTCCTTTTAAATTGGTCCGAAGTTCCAAAAAGACACAGTCCTGGTCTTCATACATCACATAGTAATATCTAAGTTGGTTTGTGCCACAAAATGTAAATGTTAAATTTAAAAAATTACATAAATTACGTATCCATATTAAGATGTGCTAAATATGTGAGAATTGACCTGGCACAAAATAAATTAAGACTGTAAAATGTTAAAAGGAAGATTTTTTAAATTAATTTATTTATTTATATAAATTTATTTAGTTATTTAATTTTGGCTGAGTTGGGTCTTTATTGCTGCGCACGGGCTTTCTCTAGTTGTGGCGAGCAGGGGTTACTCTTTGTTGCGGTGCAGCCTTCTCAATGTGGTGGCTTCTCTTGTTGTGGAGCACGGGATCTAGGGCGTGCGGGCTTCAGTGGTTGTGGCGCACAGGCTTAGTTGCTCTGTGGCATATGGCATCTTCCCGGACCAGGGCTCGAACCCGTGTCCCCTGCATCGGCAGGCGGATTCTTAACCGCTGCACCACCAGGGAAGTCCTCAAAAGGAAGATTTTTATTAACCACTAAGAAAAAAAGAAAAAATATTTTCCTATGAAACTCACTTAAGGATATTTCATGGAAAACTTAACTAGTAGGTTAGACTACTGGGTCATTCAAAGTGAGCTAGAGCTCAAGAGTCAGCTCTGTGCTTTTAGAGCTAACATGTAATGTGGAAGACTGAAGGGCTTAGATAACCGTGTCAGATTGGGAGCTATGATTACTACCACGTAGTTGAATATTAACAGGATTCAGCTATCCTGTATGTTAGTATAAAAGTTTATCTTTGTATGGCACTAATTTTTGTAATTTTTAAAATAGCTAGCACTTCCATACACCCTTCTGAGGAATATAATTACATGAATTAGAACAAGGCCTACTTTTTTTTTTCTTTTTTTTGGTCTTGAAAAGTCCCTGGTTAAAATACAAATCCTCCTAGAAAGGGTACCACTTTGGGCCATTATCAGCTGGCCCATCCATACACCCTTCTAAGGAATATAAGTACATGAATTAGAACGACCTTTATCATTGTCCTGAAAAGTAGCCAGTTAATCCTCCCTTATGAAGACATGGCATTATTTTATTCTCATTCAATGAAATACTCAATTCAGTAAGTATTTACTCTGAATTTACACAGTTGTTCAGCACCGTGTGAAATGTGAGACAGAATAAAAGAGGGTTTAATATTTTCGGATATCTTCCCTGGCCTTAAGAGTTTATAGTCTCATTTTGGACAGGAACAACAACACGGTTCATTCGAAACAGGTAGGAGTCCATCTCCCCCCTTTGAGGCCTCTTATCTCTCTTCTCTGTGGCCCTGGGGCCTTAGTTCCATTAGAGCCTTGCTTTCAGCCTGTTGTCATCAAACAGCACAAAGCTGATAGTGGCCCAAGTTGGTGCCTTTTCTAGGAGGATTTGCTTTTTAACCAAGGACTTTTCAAGAAAATAAAAAGTGGACCTGTGTAAACAAAATTAAGAAAACTGATTTATTCTTAGGGTTCTGATTTGTCTATCTCAAACTATACAATACAAACTGCTTTCACTCCATCCATAATCCTGTCACTACCCTGCTTTTAAAAGCCCAGTTTGGTCTCCATACCATCTACCCTACCCTACAGGGTAGACTCCAAAATTTTTGGCTTCATGTTCCAGGCATCCTTGAGCCTCATTTTTCTTACTTTCAACCAGACATACTACTTTCCAGCCTCACTGCACTTTCCATTTTTCCATAAACAGGCCAGGCCCTTTCACGACTCCCTGCTTTGCCCCTGTTTCCACTGCCCAGGATGCCTTTCACCCTCTCTCCTCTTGTCTTTTTGGAAACTTCCTCTTTGAGACCCAGCATAAACCTCAATTCCTCTGTGAAGCTCTTCCTGACTATTCCAGAATTCTCTCAAATGTCTTGTTTCACCTGTTGCCGCAGCACTTTGTACGTTGGTTATAGTACTGTTATAGAAATTAGTTTTGAGACTCTTCTCCCTCTGGCTTCTTGATGGCAGGACCTGGTATAGTGTCTGGCATACAGTCTTTCAGTACATGCTCCTTGAATGTTTCCGCAGTTAGAAAGATCAACAGGTTGGCAAATTTAGTTTTATTTGACATTGTGTTCTCCTACATCCCCTCCCCCCAATACCCTCAGGTTAAATAAAAACTCCCAACAGGGGATTTACACGGTTTATTGTTGCTAATTTAACCAAATTTAGAGGTTTGTTCTTAGGATTACTTCGTTTTAAAATTTGCACTCATGTACTATATTGGTAGAAAAGATTGACTTTTGCCAATATTGTTGTCCTAAAACGTCTTGAGACAAAACGTATGAACCAGGATTTGGTAAAAGAAGTGGCTCTGTTTAGTCTGTAAATTACTGAGTTAATGATTGATGGGGCTTGGGGTTGGTCCTGGGAATTGTGTTAGGGAGAAGTGTTAGTTACCTTCCTGTTTCTTGGCCTTAAAATGCACCTTTAAATCGGCCTTCCCTGGTGGGACAGTGGTTAAGAATCCGCCTGCCAATGCAGGGGACACTGGTTCGAGCCCTGGTCTGGGAAGATCCCACATGCCATGGAGTAATTAAGCCCGTGCCATGGAGCAACTAAGCCCGTGCACCACAACTACTGACCCTGTGCTCTAGAGCCCGTGAGCCACAACTACTGAACCCGCGTGCCTAGAGCCCGTGCTCCGCAACAAGAGAAGCCACCGTCAAGACACAACGCAACCAAAAAATAAATTAATTTAAAAAAAAAAGAATGCACCCTTAACTCTAGCCAGCCATCTTAGAAAATGCTCCTGGTAGGAAGGTAAAAGGATTTGCAACTACATTACTGAGAAAGGTATCAAAACACTCAGTATTGGGTCAGCTGTGTCCTTGACATAAAAGAGAAACAATTTATAGCTCAACCGAATGAAAAACTCATTTTTCTTTCTATATAAGTTCTTTTTCTTTTCCTTTCCTATCTTAACATCATGACATTCCTCCCTAGCATTAGGCATAATGGCATGATTCTATTTTCCTCCATTTCGGGTTACTCCTCTCGCCTTGCAACCCCTCCTTATTCCTTTATCGCTTTCAAAGTTTCCATTCTCCGTTCCCTTACTTTTACTCCCTCCCTCTTTTTTCCCAGCTAGCTCACCCCGCCCCTCACCGTCACCACCTTCCCTCCCCTTCAGGCTCCTTCCCGCTCCTTCTCCCGCCACCACCCCTCCCTGCCCGCCTCGCGTTCAGGAAGCTCCAATCAGGAGCTCCGAAGGTGTCTCGAAGGCCCGCCCCCTCCTCCCTTTCCACTTCTCTGCCCCCCCCTTCTCCCTCCCCCACCCCACCCCCACTCAAGTCCTGCGGACCTGGGGGCTTCGGGATCTGGGCGCTATGAAAAGTGTCTGCTCAGTCACTTCCGGTAAGGGCGTTGCGGCGCGAAGCTTCCCGCGGGACCGTTTAGGAGGGGGTGGAAGTAACCGGTGGGCCGGGGGAGGAGAGTGCTGCCTGGGAAGGGGAGCGGGAGAGGGAGGCGGAGGGAGAGCAAGCGCGAGCGTCTCGGGTGCCTCAGCGGCCCCTTTCCCGCCGCCTCGCCACAAGCCAGCTCCCCCGCCCCCCGGCCGCCTGCAGTGCTGCTCTCCACCCCCCACTCTCGCGGACTAACACCGCCCCTCCCTCGCCGCCGCGTGACCGGAAGTGGCGCCATCTTTAGCTTCTTGTGCTATTGACAATAACAAGCTCCGGTTCTCTCCCCCTCCCCCCTCCCCCCAACCACGGCATCTCCCCTCCCAGAGAGAGGGAGAAAAGGAGGAGGAGCTGCAGCCTCACAGACTTACTGAGTCGCTCCTGCAGAAAGGGGGGAGAGAGACCGAAAAGCAGGGGAGGGGGACGGCACGGCCGTTTACCTGTCTGCCTCCTCATTCGCTCTCCCCCCTTGTTCTGCTCACTCCTGGTGTCAGCCTATCCTCCTTCCCAAACCCTCCCATTCCCCCGGTGGAGCCCCCCCTTCACTTTCCTTCTCGTCCTCTGTGTTTCTCCTCTCTTTCTTCCCTTCCCCCTCTAGCATTGCCACCTTTTCTCCTACACGCACTCAGGCATATAAACGTAGGTTTTTGATGCTCGTCTGCCTGTTGACCCCGCTATTTTCATGTTTCCAACAGGTTTTTCTTCCCCCAATCCCTCAGCTGCTGCTGCTGCTGCTCAGGAGGTCAGATCTGCCACTGATGGTAATACCAGCACCACTCCGCCCACCTCTGCCAAGAAGAGAAAGTTAAACAGCAGCAGCAGCAGCAGCGGCAGTAACAGTAGTAACGAGAGAGAAGACTTTGATTCCACCTCTCCCTCCTCTTCCACTCCTTTACAACCCAGGGATTCGGCATCCCCTTCAACCTCGTCCTTCTCCTGCCTGGGGGTTTCAGTGGCTGCTCCCAGCCACGTACCGATACAGAAGAAGCTGCGTTTTGAAGACACCCTGGAGTTTGTAGGGTTTGATGCGAAGATGGCTGAGGAATCCTCCTCCTCCTCCTCCTCATCTTCACCAACTGCTGCAACATCTCAGCAGCAGCAACTTAAAAATAAGAGTATATTAATCTCTTCTGTGGCTTCGGTGCATCACGCAAACGGCCTAGCCAAATCTTCTACCACCGTCTCTAGCTTTGCTAACAGCAAGCCTGGCTCTGCTAAGAAGTTAGTGATCAAGAATTTTAAAGGTAACCAAGGCCAAAATCCATAATCACCTAAGGATTTGACACTTGAGTGGTCACGTGCTCTATTTCTGTTAATATATTAAACAGTATAGAGGTGGCCTAATGTTTTATGCATAATCAATGAGGTGGAGGGAGGTCCCTTTTGGGTGGAGGGTTCATTTTCCGGGGTGGTTAGTATCCTTGTGCTGAAGCAGACACCAGGTGTTTCTGTGCAGTATTTTGAGGTCTGTCTCAGCCTATTGTATCTGATCTGTTATGCCTTATAACACTGACAGTCGATATGATTGATCCGGATTTTACAGGTGAGAAATTTGTATTCTAAAAAGGTTTATTTATTTCAGGTGCATAGTGAACCTTGGCACTGCTGGGATTTTTATTTTTATCCTTCAGTAGGCCACGTTATCTAGTCCCTAGAAATGCAGGTAGGACTAGTGATTTTTTTCATGTTCAAAGAAGACTTATAGTTAGATTTATAATGTTGAATACTACACTCTTGAAACTCATTGTGGAAGCAATAGTTGGAGAAAAGTATTTATGATCTCTTCATTTCTTTCCAAAGGTAGGGTTTGGAAGTGAAAATACTGTGTATACACAGTAGTAACTCTGTGTACCACTAGTCTAAAGATAGGAACAATTACTACATCTTTTTTTTTAATCACTGAAATGGGTCTTAAAGTACTGACCTGCAACTTTTACGAAAATTTGTTCATTTCAGGTTTTTGAGATACGTGCTTGAGAGTACTGTGAATGCATTGATGCAAATGTAAAATCAACAATTTTTTTAAATGTAATTGAGCTGAATTACTTTTTAATCTCTTGAGTGTGTTTCTGTTTCTCTGACTTTTTCGACACTCTTAACTGGCAAGTAGTGGATGCTAGAATGTTTATTAAATGGGCAAGTAAAATGAATGAACTAAAGTAATATTTACCAGAACAGTGCCTTGTGGCTAAATATTAGTATTGAGAAAATTAGATTCTCCATGCTTGTATTTTCAACATTAGTGTGGAAATCAGTAATATGCTCTATTTTGTTTTAAGCAGAGTATAGTGTTGTTTATTTTTAACCTTTTCTTTTTTCTATCACTCCTCTCCCACCTCCAGGCTCTCAAGGGTTGTAATCTTTCTGATTTAATAGTAGACTTTTCTGAAGTAAATATGAATTGTAGTTGACTAATTTGTTCACTGTTTTATTTAAAATATATCAATTTAATACCCAAGGATTTTTTAAAGAGATGAGCTATGACCCTAATTGCATTTGTATACCGGTTTCAGAGATTTTGTTTGGGTTTTTTTCTCCCCCTCCCAAAATAAAAACACATTATTAAGGTATCTGGATGTTTTAATTTAAAAAAGCCTCATTGCTGGTCAGTGAAGTTTAAAGCCTGGATTAAGATGTACCTTTCCATTCTGAAAGTGCTACATAGGTTCTGGAGTTGTTTGGATGTTTTAATTTTTTAATATTTTACTCTGCTCATAAATGCAGTTTAAATCAAAACATGAATTAAGATGTTTCTCTCCATTCCTGTAGATGCTACATAAATAAGGGGGTCAAACAGACCTGAGTTAGAATCCCAGTTTTACCATTGACTAGCTATGGTGACCTTGGGCAAGCCTTACTAAATGAGTCTTCCAGCCTCAGTTGCCAAATAAGGATAATAATACTTTCCTTAGGACATTATTAGGAAAATTAAGATGTTTATAAAGTACCTTGTACATGGTAGGCACTCAGTATTTTACATTTCAGGTACAAAATTCATGTTGACTTTGGTTTACACATGATGGAATAGGATCAGGATTGTTAATTTTTTGTTTGTCATTCTTGAATTTTTATTTTTTGAAGCAATTCAGTCAATAGCAGGAAAAACCCCTCACCTTCAGTTTTAATAGGTGAGTCAAAATGACTTACACAGTATTCTGGCATTTCAAATTTTATTCTTTATACTAAGCCTAAATATAATGGTTACTTTAATAGTTAGATATAATACTTATAACAATTTACCCTTAAAGAGCAGTAATACTAGTATTTTGTGAGTCTTTTCATTACTATATCCTACATATTATTCTGATTATCAACCTTTTACATATCATCTAGATAAGCCTAAATTACCAGAAAACTACACAGATGAAACATGGCAGAAACTGAAAGAAGCAGTGGAAGCTATCCAGAATAGTACTTCGATTAAGTACAATTTAGAAGAACTCTATCAGGTATGTATTAACTTGGATTACCAGATTTGGTTAGCGTAAATTGAGGTGAAATGTATATGGATTTTACTTTCTGAAATGGGTGCTTATGTAGATTTTTGGTTCCCTTCTAATTACAATTTCTTGATTAATATATGCGCTCTGTTTTATAATCAGACCATATGTTCTGACATAAACTATGGGTACAGTCTTATTGGTATAAATTGGGCTTATCGTGGACCCTTCTAATTAGGATTTACAGTTAGGAGTACCTAGCTGTAATAAGTTTGACCTATAATAGAATCCTATAGCCTGGATCCCAAGTACTTCTTGCTAAGTGGTGTTACCTATATAGGAAAGCCCTCAAGAAACGCAGATATTCTCCATATACTTTATTCTACGTCTTTGCTGTTAGCATACTTTTGCCATTTCTTTCTCTTCTTTATGTTTGTCTTTTCTCCTGGTCTACAAGACATACCTTAGCCCAGAAATGATCAGCAGGTTGTAGTTCAGCAACTTGGTCTGAGGTTCAGGTTTGTTTCTTTTGCTTAACAAATGGATCTGTATTTGAAGTGTTGAACGTAAATATACAATTAAGGGCAATTCCTGATTTAGACTTCTTGCTACCAAGATACTTTGACCTACTGTATTTTTGCCACAACCAATTCAAGAAGTTACTTTCCATTATAGAGTCAGCAGTTTCATATTAAAAAAAAAATCCAATGGCTTGAGTTTTTGTATTGATGAGTACTTTGTAAGAAATTATGTTGGTTCAGTTTATCAGAATTCGTAGTTTTCATCTATTCATTTTAGTTGTAGAGATAGTTTGGTGATGGACAAACAGTGGATTAGGAGTCAAAAGACAAAGGGATCTAGTTTTGGCTCTATTACCCTTGTGGTCTTGGGCAAGGTACTAAACCTCTCTCAGCTTCTGTTTCCTCCTTTGTAAATGGGGGAAGAACTCCTGCTCTATCTACCTCACAGCGTTGCTTATAAGACTCAAATAAGATGTTTGTGAAAAACACCTTGAAGCACTACGATAGAAATATAAGTTGATGTTATCACTAGTTAAACTTTTTCATAAGGCACAGTATGACTTTTTCACTTGTAATAGGTCAATTGAGATCACCAGTTTCTGTTGCTGTTTAAATTTAATGCGTCAATGCATGCCAAACAGAACGGTGCCGAATACATAGTAATGATGCTGTGTAATATTATAAGCATTATAATGCTATGTAAGTGTCAGGTAGTAGTCAGTAGTAGTACTAAGGTATTAAGGATAAGCCCACCTCATTTGGCTATGTTGGTATATTGCACATGTGGCTCCTGAGTTGTACAGTAATAAAAGTTGAATGACAGTTGGAAAGGCCTTAAGCAATTATGTGGTCCAGTATATTTTCTTTGTATAGTGTATGTGACAGCCTACAAAGTAGGATTATCTCATTTAAGCATTATAGAAACCCTTTGTGAAGTAGATAAGGTAGTAGTTATCATCCCTATTCTATTGATGAGGAAATGGAGTCTCAGGGACTCCAAAGTCTAGAGTCGTGTATTGGCAGAGCAGGGGACTTAAACCGAGACGCCCAAGTTTTTAGTCCAGTGCACTTTCACTAATACACCACAGCACTTCACATACCTCTGTAGTGCAGTGTTTGAAGCAAATAGTCTTACTTTAGGAAAAGAAACTTTGTCATCAAAGAAGGTAATTTTTGGGGGCTTCCCTGGTGGCGCAGTGGTTAAGAATCCGCCTGCGAGCGCAGGGGACACGCGTTTTTTTTTTTTAAGACAGTTGGGTCTTCTTACTTTTTTTAAAATAATTAATTAATTTATTTATTTTTGGCTGTGTTGGGTCTTTGTTTCTGTGCAAGGGCTTTCTCTAGTTGTGGCAAGCGGAGGCCACTCTTCATCGTGGTGCGCGGGCCTCTCACTATCGTGGCCTCTCTTGTTGCGGAGCGCAGGCTCAGTAGTTGTGGCTCACGGGCCTAGTTGCTCCGCGGCATGTGGGATCTTCCCAAACCAGGGCTCGAACCTGTGTCCCCTGCATTGGCAGGCAGATTCTCAACCACTGCCCCACCAGGGAAACCCGGGGGACACGGGTTTGAGCCCTGGTCCAGGAAGATCCCACATGCCGCAGAGCGGCTAAGCCCGTGCGCCACAACTACTGAGCCTGCGCTCTAGATCCCACGAGCCACAACTACTGAGACCCCATGCCACAACTACTGAAGCTCGTGTGCTTGATCCCATGCTACGCAACGGAAGAGGCCACAGCAATGAGAGGCCCACACACTGCAGCGAAGAGTAGTCCCCACTCGCTGCAACTAGGAAGAAGCCTGCACGCAGCAATGAAGACCCAACGCAGCCAAAAATAAATAAATAAATTAAAAAAAAGAAGGTAATTTTTTTCATTCGTGCTTGTATATGGTGTTTCTTTGGATTTGCTGGCATACAGCATCTTTAATTTCAGTAATGTGTTACTTTACATATTTCATATTTCTGACATTTAAAAAAAATTATTTATCTCACGGGCTCTTTAGGTGTGGCATGCTAACTCTTAGTTTCAGCACGCTTGTGGGATCTAGTTCCCTGACCAGGGATCAAACCTGGGCCCCCTGCATTGGGAACTCAGAGTCTTAACTGCTGCACCAACAGGGAAGTCCCCATACTTATAACATATTGATTGTAGTTGCTAATGAACCCTATTTACTTTACCTTGAATATTTTTCTAGAGCTTTTGGGTTAAAAAAATATTTTTCCTGGTAAGTTGATTCTGTTAAATCCCTTTGTGTTTCAAGAGCTCATAGCTCACATTTTTTGTTTTTCCTTTATTGTACTTCAGAATTCTTTACCTGCTGTTGTTCAGTTGCATTTCTTTAGCCTAAAGTCAGTGTTACAACTTTTCACTCTTTGCATTTTTCATAATACTTTCCTACTTCTGTAATAATAAATTCAAAAGCATTTGTTTCTAGCTCTTTTGCTGTTTTTGACCTTAATTTTATAAATGCTCCTTGGGATTGTTCTCAGAAAGATTATTTTGAGGTGTTCAAGTTCAAAAAAGAGGATAAAAGGATAAAGGGAGTAAAATTATTTCATACCATCTGGATTTCAGGTGCTTGTTGGATTTTTAAACAGGTTGAAATGTAATTTAAAAGTACTCTTCTAAAATTGAAACAATATAGAAGTATGTAGTGTACCAAACAAAAGTTCTCCAAACTCCTCAGCACACACCCCCCACCCCCGTCCCTGAAGTAAACACTTACTTGGCATATGTCTATGCAGAACTTTTTTCTATGAATGAAAAACCATTTTGCTTTAAGGCTTAAGCATGGAAGTCTTCCCTAGTGTGGATTGCATATACTACCTCATAAGTTTTTAATTTCTAGAAAAGAACGTGCTGTTCTGAGTATATTTGCAATAAGTAAACGTTGTGTTTTAAAAGTGATTTAAAGTGTGACTTGTACCTGAGTTTAAAAATTATCTTTCCGGGCTTCCCTGGTGGTGCAGTGGTTGGGAGTCTGCCTGCCACTGCGGGGGGCGCGGGTTCGTGCCCCGGTCCTGGAGGATCCCGCGTTGCCGCGGAGCGGCTGGGCCCGTGGGCCATGGCCGCTGGGCCTGCGCGTCCAGAGCCTGTGCTCCGCGGCAGGAGGGGCCACGGCGGTGAGGGGCCCCGGTACCGCAAAAAAAAAAAAAATTATCTTTGCTCCACAACCTTGAAATCCTGTTAAGAGTGAGGCAGTGGTTCATGTTGTTTTGGTTTGGGTTTTTTTTGTTTGTTTGCTTGTTTGTTTTTGATTGACTACAGATAGGAGTATGGTTAAATGCACTGACTTTTGAGTTGTTCAGCCTGCCTTAGATTTGAGATCTGCCACTCATGATAACTTTGGGTGAGTTACTTCTCTAAGCCTTGGTTTCCTCATTTGCAAAATGGGGAGACTACCTATATGGCAGGGTTGTTCAGTTGTAAATAAAATACTGCAAAAACGTACTTACTACACTGCCTGCTGTATGTCCGTGTCATCAGTGATGATGATGATAAATAGTATTTGAGTCTTTAAAAAAGGTATCTTTAAGATTATGTTTTATTATACATCTCTAAAGCCACACATGTTTTTAAATTCTAAATCCACACTGGGCCAGAACAGCTGGCTGATAAATAGATTACATCCCAGATATGCATCAGAAAACATCATTAGCCAAAGTGAAAAAATAATAGAAAAAGAGAACTCTCTAGGAACAGTGTCCCTCTGCACTGCTCAAGAATGTGTCTTGTTTTTATATGTAGTATCTTAATAGTTGGCATCTTGGTTTTGGTGTGTGACTTTTTTACTAAGTGATATTTTAAGTAATGGGATTATTTTCCTCATGTTCTCAGCCTTGTGTGAATAGCTGTGCAGTGTTTTTAAATCAGCTACCTTTTTTGGAGCTGGCTGGTTTCTGTATGAGTGTTACATTTATTCTTAGTATAAATTTTTAGCTATTATCTTTGAAGGTAAGCTTAGTCCATACTTCAATTCTGATGAAAATAATTTCATCATTAATAATGAGAACTCTTGTTTGGTTAGCTTTTTGTGAAATAAATTTTAAATAATGGAGCCTTTCAATTAATGATTCATTCATCAAGTACATGACCGCAAGACTGGAAGCAAATAGTGCATCCATCTGAGTATAGGTTATTTTCCATTGTAAAATCAGGTTTCTTAAGCAGTCAGTGGAGAGCAGGTAGTAGATTCTTAGCAGAGGTGACAAGCTATTATATTCTATGTTGATGACTAGGTATTATGTTCTGTAAGTTTAACCTTTGATGTGTTTAAGCTAAGTCTGTCACGTTACTATTATTCCTGTTTTTACTGGATTGTTAATACTATCCCTGCTATTTATCCAAACTACAAATTCTTAGTCCTTGATAATTTGTCTTATTTAAGCTCTTTTTACTAGATGTAAAAAGAGAAATAATTTAGGTTTCATTGTTCGGCTTCCTTTCTGCAAATTCTTAGTTTTTGATATATTTTGATTATCTTATTTTAGGCATTTTTACTAGATGTAAAAAGAGAAATAATTTAGGTTTCATTGTTCGGCTTCCTTTCTGAAAATTCTTAGCTTTTGATGTATTTTGATTATCTTATTTTAGGCATTTTTACTAGATGTAAAAAGACATAATTTTGAGTTTTATTGTTGTATCAGTTGTTGAAAAGTTTTGTGGTATGCTTTTCTTTCTCTCTTTAAACATTATGGTTTGAAAAATAAGCCCCAACCTGTTAGGCCAGTGACCAAAGTTCAGCACCCTGGTGGGAATTTAATTTCTTAAGTGTCTGTTGTTGCTAAATCAGAAAATTTTCCAGATTTCCTCCCTTACCATTTATTTTTGCATCTTTCTATTTTTATCCTTATTTTAATCCTCTTCATTTTTTTATTCTAGTCTTCTTACCCTCATTTCCACTCTTTTCCTCGTCCCAAATGCAAGCTTATGTGCCTTTGCTGTTTCTAAATCTTATATTCTGCAAATTTCAGGAACTATAGTTTTGCATTTCATTTGCTACACGTTTATATTTTCTTAGGAGTTTTTTTTTTCTTCAGACAAACATGTGTTTGATGCAATGTATGAATTTTGGAGGGAAGGGGCTGGGATTTAGAGGAATAAAAGTTAAAACCTTATTAGAATGTTTTTATCTTATATCCAACTACCTGCAAAAAGGATTTAAGGCAGCATATTTAACCAGTAGTGATTGGGAGCTTAAGTAGAAAGATAGTTTTATTTAAGAGACTTATAGAATTATCCAGAATGTTTAATACAAATAGTTATCTGTGAAACAAGGTTATATTAGTAATAATTATACCAGATCAAACTTCTAGGGATTTCCAGAGTGTTTACTGAAATGTAAAATGATACATGTCTAAAAGTGCTTTTCAAAGGTCTGGAATAAAATAGAGTTTACCTCAAGCTCCTCAGTAGTGATTTAACACTTATTCATGTTTCTATCCCAGCACCTAACAGGACAGAGTACTTAGTAAACACCCCATTCTTGTTGAATCAGTGACTGTGTGACTGCTTACTGTGTGCAAAGCTGGACAAATGCCATGGGCATATAGAGATCACTTAGTCCTTGCCCCTAAGGTGCTTATATTCTAGTAGGCTCATGAAATTAGTAGTTTGTGACCAGCATTTTTAAAAAAAGGTAAAATAGAAAATATCGGAGTACATCACACATAGTAATGGTAAGTACAGTTTCATGAAGATTTTGTTTCAATTACATAAATTTTATGTATAATGGATTGTGACATAAAATGTATTTCTTACTGTGGCTTGTCAAAAACTTTTGGAAGCCACTGTTTTAGGCACACATGATTGCTCCAAACAAACCTTGCTTGAAAGTGAGCAAAGCAGAGTATTTAGATCACGAGGTGTATGGAAGATTATAGACAGACATGAGAGTAAAATAATGGTACTATTGAGCCTTGAATGCCGTGCTAAAAAGTATGGTGGTGGGGAAGATAGGGCTTTATTGGGGGAGGCAATACTTAAGTTTTTTTAATAGTTAGAATATTCATCTGGTTCAAAGCCCCAAAAGTATTACAGAGCATGTAGTAAAGTTTCACTTCCACTCCATCTTCCAACCCTGCTCCCCCAGCTAATAACCCTCTTGACAAACATAATTGGGTGTATCATTCCAGAAATGGTTCATGTGTGTAAAAACAACTGTGTGGAGGTTTTTATTTTGCGGTACGCGGGCCTCTCACCGTTGTGGCCTCTCCCGTTGCAGAGCACAGGCCCAGTGGCCACGGCCCACGGGCCCAGCCGCTTTGCAGCACACGGGATCCCCCCGGACCAGGGCACGAACCCGCGTCCCCTGCATTGGCAGGCGGACTCTCAACCACTGCGCCACCAGGGAAGCCCTGTGTGGAGGTTTTTTTAATTAATTTTCTTTCTTTTTTTAAATTTACATAAATGATAGTAGACCATGCACCATACCATTCAGTCCTTTGTATTTTTTTATACCACTTACGGGATTTCTCCATAAATGGTACCTGAAGAGCTTGATGGAAAAGTTCTTAAGGAACGGAAATTACTAGATCTGGTCTATATGTTAAGCAGTCAAGGCTAAATTAGAGAAGCAGGATGTTCTCTTCCATCTTGACCTTCAAAACTCACCTTAGATCTTCCTGCCTTTCCCTTTCCTTCTGTTGTTGCTTCTCGTATCTTAAACCATTCTCCAGCTAAACACAGCTGAAGCTGTATGCATATGAAGACCAGCTTAATTCTCTTATTTCTCACTATTCCCATAAGCTCTTTATCTATTTCCCACTGGGTCTTTGGGACTCCACCTCTTTACTTGTGCTCCGGAAGCCTTTCCTGACTTGCCTCTGCCCTAAAGATTGGGTTAGGGACCTCACCTCTATCTTATCCCCATCATAGCACCCAACACAGTATCTTGTAATTATATGTTTTCCGACCAGTTTTCTCCTTACACTGTAAGCCCCTTCTGTGTGCAGGACACATTGCTAGTTATAGGTACATTAGGGGTTTTTTTTGTTTGTTTGTTTTTTGGGTTTTGGGGTTTTTTTGCGGTCCGTGGGCCTCTCACTGCTGTGGCCTCTTCCGTTGCGGAGCACAGGCTCTGGACGCACCGGCTCAGCGGCCATGGCTCACGGGCCCAGCTGCTCCGCGGCATGTGGGATCTTCCCGGACTGGGGCATGAACCCGTGTCCCCTGCATCGGCAGGTGGACTCTCAACCACTGCGCCACCAGGGAAGCCCTACATTAGTTTTTTTGAATATTTACTATATTCACCTGGTTCAACGCCCAAAAAGTATTAAAGAACATATAGGTACATGAGCACATGGTCTCTTTCTGTCATTAAGGAGAGTTGGGGGACAGGATATACACATTAAGAGATACAATATTGACTCAGGGACAAGTCAGTGTGGTATGATCGGTGATAGTGCCAAATGAGTCACTGGTAGCCAAGGCAATTAAGGAAAGCTTATTGGAAGAAGTGGAACCTAGCTGAGTAGTAAGGGAATATGGTATCTTGTGTAAGAAAATAAATAGATGCGATGAGAACTAATATATGGAAGAAAGAGTAACACAGCAGAAGGGAATGGTGAAGGAGGACTCGGAAAAGTACTGCAGGTGGGAAATGTGGAGAAGGTGAAATACAAAGACAGAATCTAAGCAGGAAAACGAGAAATGCTGAGAAAATTAGTCACTCAAAAGGAACACCAAGATACAATGAGAAGACTACTAAAGGAGGAAGAAAGAGAGTCCATAGAGGACTAATGTGAACCAGTCAGGCACATGAAATAAACATAAACACACACTTAGGCATTTGTGGCCTGACCCAAGGCCCCATGGAAAGGGGTGGCCAGCAGAGACTTAGCCTTCTTATTCCTCCTTAGCTGCTATATCTAAGTGGTCTGCTGTTTCCTGGTAAGGTGTAGTGCCTTTCCTCCTTTGGTATAAGTGGTTTCCTTTAAGCTTTATTTTCATTTGCTAGTTTATTTGCTGGACGTGCATGCTGGGAATATGACTTCCAGCTACATATTTATAAAATTCCACTCCAACCAAGAGGACTTGGATGGTCCCTTAGAGTCAATTTTAATGGAATTTTTGCCTTGTGTTGTGGTGAGAAAAAAATCCTGGTGTTATACTTAAGTCATTAATAGTTGAAATTGTAGATTATATCAGAGTTCATCCAAAGAGTTTTACCATGCCTGTTGTATTAAATTTGAAAGTCTTTTGATGCACATAAGAAGAGACTCACTGAAATCTCAAGTTTGTCCTTTTGGGATCTGAGTATAAAAGACCAATTCAACTATTAGAATGAAGTAAAAATTCAGTATTTCTTTCGTAATTAATGTTTATCCCATTGTACAAATTTTAAAACCTCTTTATTTAAATATTCTTAAGCTGCAATGTTGGAGAAAAATCCCTGTGTATAATTATATCATACTCATTATAATACTGCTTGCAATAAATTCTGCATTGCTCTGTTCAGGAAAACCAAAGAAAGTATAAATAAATTTTATTTCAGTGGTGGTTGGACCACCCAGCCCATCTAATAAACAATTGGTGAAATTATTTTCAAACTCAAAATGGAATTCTGCTTATGAAAACAATTAACATTTTTAAGAACAAGACAGAATTTATATGTAGCAGTTGTTACAAATTGGTCTTCACAAGGTGAGAATTTGGCTTGATTCCCTCCATCCTTAACCTGTACTGCCACAATAAATGTATTAATTTGTGTGTGTGTGGGGTTGGTATAGTACACTGGTTATGAAAAATGTTCACTACCCATGTTGATATTTTGCTATTTTACCTTGTGTTTTATTTTAATTAATTAATTAATTAATTAATTAATTAATTTACGGTACGCGGGCCTCTCACTGTTGTGGCCTCTCCTGTTGCAGAGCACAGGCTCTGGACGCGCAGGCTCAGCGGCCGCGGCTCACGGGCCCAGCCGCTCTGCGGCATGTGGGATCTTCCCGGACCGGGGCATGAACCCGTGTCCCCTGCATCGGCAGGCGGACTCTCAACCACTGTGCCACCAGGGAAGCCCTTACCTTGTGTTTTAAATGGACGAATAATCCTTTTTAATAAGCCGACATGGTAGAAATAACAAATAATAGGAATTTGATGTAAATAATCAAGAAATCCCCCCTCCCCTCCCCATTCACTCCGTAAGAAAGTATGTGTTTAATTTTGCAGGCTGTGGAAAATCTCTGTTCTTACAAGATTTCTGCAAACTTGTACAAACAGCTGAGACAGATTTGTGAAGATCACATCAAAGCACAAATTCATCAGTTCAGAGAATATCCTTTTAAAAATAAAAAACCTTGTATTTTCATCTATCCCTCCCTCTCTGTCCCTCACTTTTAAACCCAGCTTGAAATGGAATGCCTGTGTTTTGTAGATTTATTTTTTGTTCATCTTGCCTCTAGAGTAAGAAGATGCAAAATTTGACTTTTTATCTCTAATTAGGGTCCAAATCTACGTTGTACTATTAATGTAAATAAATAAAATGTCTTTATGTCTTTACTCTTTTTGAGGAAAGATAATTGGGAAATAATAAACTGAAAACCCAATGCTCAGTTATGTCTAAGACTTGTCTTTTGTTGTTTTGGCCTAGTGGCTTTCAGGATCTTAGTTCCCTGACGAGGGATTGAACCTGTGCCCCCTGCAGTGGAAGTGCAGAGTCTTAACCACTGGACCTCCAGGGAAGTCCCTAAGACTTGTTGTTTTTTTTTGTTGTTTGTTTCGTTTTTTTCAAAGACAGTTTTTTGGTTTGGTTTGGTTTTTTTTTTTTTTTTTTGCTGCTTTGGGTCTTCGTTGCTGCGTGCGGGCTTTCTCTAGTTGTGGTGAGCGGGGGCTACTCTTCATTGTGGTGCTCGGGCTTCTCATTGCGGTGGCTTCTCTTGTTGCGGAGCATGGACTCTAGGCGTGCACACTTCAGTAGTTGTGGCACGCAGGCTCTAGAGCACAGGCTCAGTAGTTGTGGTGCATGGGCTTAGTTGCTCCATGGCATATGGGATCTTCCCGGAGTGGAGCAGGGATCCAACCCGTGTCACCTGCATTGGCAGGTGGATTCTTTTTTTTTACATCTTTATTGGAGTATAATTGCTTTACAATGGTGTGTTAGTTTCTGCTTTGTAACAAAGTGAATCAGTTATACATATGCATATGTTCCCATATCTCTTCCCTCTTGCGTCTCCCTCCCTCCCCCCCACCCTCCCTATCCCACCCCCCCTATCCCACCCCTCCAGGCGGTCACGAAGCACCGAGCTGATCTTCCTGTGCTAGGCGGCTGCTTCCCACTAGCTATCTACCTTAGTTTGGTAGTGTATATTTGTCCATGCCTCTCTTTTGCTTTGTCACAGCTTACCCTTCCCCCTCCCCATATCCTCAAGTCCATTCTCTAGTAGGTCTGTGTCTTTATTCCTGTCTTACCCCTAGGTTCTTCATGACATTTTTTTTTCTTAAATTCCATATGTAAGTGTTGGCATACGGTATTTGTCTTTCTCTTTCTGACTTACTTCACTCTTAACCATTATGCCACCAGGGAAGTCCCACTAAGACTTGTTTTTGGAGGTATTTTTTTTTTAGTGGGATCTAACATGTTTTTACAGTTTAAGAAGTAGCATTTTGTTTCATAATTAAGTGCTGTTTAGTTTCATTTAGTACCTAGGGCATTCCGTATTTAAGACAAATGTGCTCTTACGTTGCATATTATTACTTGTACTAAGCGCTTTTAAAATATCCTTAACGTATATCTCACGGATTCATTGGATAGTGTTCTTTTTCTAAAGAAGATCGATAGATGTTGGCAGAACCATTGCAGACAGATGGTAAGATGGAAAAAGCATTACATTTCAGCTAAATATTGTAGTTAAAATAAGTTTCTTCAAATACAGGAATGCTAGTTTTAAAAGCTTTGCAATGGGGGGACTGAAACTAATTTTGGTTGAGTTTTCTATTTTGAAACTGCAAGTTACAGGTAAACCAGTATTTTAGAATGACTTGCACCTTACGATCATTTTTATTTTTGTAACACTTAAGCAAAAGGTATTTATCTCATTAAAAAAGTTACATTTTGCCTGTCAGTCTTGATGGCTATCCCACTCGCTATTTGGTTACTTGTGAAGGTGCCTGATGGTTCTGCGTTTTAGATTATTCAGATCACAACCTTTTCCTTTTTCCCTAATCTGGTATTATTTTAAACCTTATATTCTGCAAATTAAAAATCTTAAAATCCATCCCACCCACCCAAAATTCCACGTATACAATTTAAGGCAGTTTCACCCTGAGGACTGTTGCTGAGGAAAAATTGTATGCCCCTTTATTCTGTTTTTATTTTTAGTTGCTTCTCAGATTGCAAAGAAGTCATAGACCATTTTAAGTGTCTTTTTTTTTCCTGGAAACTACAGCAAGAATTAACGTTTATTAATGGTTTAATAAAAATGGTGTGGGCATATTCTCAGGTAGATGTGTTTATCTGTATGTTTGATCCTAGTAGTCTCGTATATATACAAGTAAACCCTGCAATCTTGTTTTATAAAATATTTCAGCTTCACAAAATATAAAAAGTTGTTTGATTTCTTTTTTTCATTGGCAGATCATGATCAGGAGCATTTTTTTGTTTCTGGATAGGACTTACGTTCTTCAAAATTCAATGCTACCCTCTATTTGGTAAGGATACCAGAAAAAAATTATGAAAAGATTTGTAACAAATCATAGTCAGATCTTAATTACACTGACAGAAGAGAGTGATACTGTGAATATTCTCCTAAAAACTCATATTTGGCTTCTAGACTTCTGTTTATAGCAGTTTTACCTTGTTAATTATGTTTTGCCTCTGCTAATATTGGAGATAGCTAACATTCCCTGGGCATATAATAACTTATGAAGAAGTTTCTTTGTTAGCCAAGGGGATTAAAGTTTGCTCTGGATTGTCTGAGTGTGCATCATTTTGTTGCTGATCAAGATTTCACTCATTATCTTTTAACATTATTGTGGAAAATTCCATGTATACACAAAAACAGAAGAGTATAATGAGCTCTTCCCCCCATCATGTGCCTAGCATCTACCTACAGCAATTATCAGAGTTTACTGATTTTTGAGTACTGAAGCCAGATGACAAATGAGCAATTAAGCCTTCGTTACCAGTACAGTGAAGACCATTTTATAGCTTTGAACTAATTTTGCCTCTTGATTTGACCAAGGAAGAAATCCACCAAAGAAAATAATACAGTAAAACTTAGTTATGGAGGAAGATGGGAATTTAGCTTCAGTTTTCATTAAAGACAAAATGAGTTTCCTGTATGCTTTAATCTAATAATGTTATTTAAAATTAAATGTGTGGATTTTATACTTTTACAATTGCTGCTTCAAAGCCTGGAACCCTAACTAACATGTGGTGAGAAGTTAAGCCTCTCCAGAAGTGGTATTGTCATCAATTAATTTAAATTATATATATTTTTTATTTTAGGGATATGGGACTGGAGTTATTTAGGGCTCATATTATAAGTGATCAAAAAGTCCAGAATAAGACAATTGATGGCATTCTTCTTTTGATTGAGAGGGAAAGGAATGGTGAAGCAATTGACAGAAGTTTACTGAGAAGCCTTTTAAGCATGCTCTCTGATTTGCAAGTAAGTCAACTACTTCACTTACTTACAGAGCTGATTGCTATCCCTAATTTGATGTTTAAAAAGCAAGCTCAGGGAAATTCCCTGGCGGTCCAGTGGTTAGGACTCCACGCTCTCACTGCTGAGGGCCCAGGCTCGATCCCTGGTTGCGGAACTAAGATCCCACAAGCCGCGAGGCATGGCCAAAAAATAAAAACCAAACTCATAGTGCTGTTCCCATTAAGGGCATTCAATAAACATTTATTGGATAATTGAACTCCTTTATTTTGTTATCCCTTCCCAGATTTATCAGGATTCTTTTGAACAACGATTTTTGGAAGAAACTAACCGACTTTACGCAGCCGAAGGCCAAAAATTAATGCAGGAAAGAGAGGTATTTAAAAATCATGATTAATAAATCCACTGTGTCTCACAATAGACCCTACTTTATTGAACATAAGCTGCCCTTTGCATTTATCTTCCCAACATTATGCTGCTTTTCTCTCACTTAGGTGCTCCTTTCTTTTCTCTCTTCTTAAAGGCCAGAATTCTGGATCATAAACTCTACCTATAATTTTACATATGATTCAACCCTGTCACATTTGACAGGGCTGCTCCCAGGATCTTTTGGAGTTGACATTTTCTGAATGATTTATGGGGAGGAAAACAATAATATAAAAAACTATCTTTGTAGGTTCCTGAATATCTTCATCATGTTAACAAACGTTTAGAAGAAGAAGCAGACAGACTTATTACTTACTTAGATCAGACCACCCAGTAAGTATTACATGCTCAGCCTAATAGCCTTAACCTGTGTTGTTGAATCACTTAAGACACTTTGGGCATCCCCAAACATGTTAGTAACTGTTTTCAGGTATCTTGAGTCTTTAACAATTGCTTTCATAATGCAACCTTCGAGTTGTTATTTCCCCTACTTAATTAGATTTAATCAAGGATTTGATAATTGGTTGTATGTGTTTAGGATGTAATTAAAAAATAGCATTACAAGCTGATGTGATCTTTGAAATCTTCAGGCCGATTAAAATTCAGTGGGTGTTCATAGGAGAAAGTATTTCTGTGCTTTCCTAAATATTACCAACCAAGGAGTTCCTGTAAGCAGCACAGATAAATTCCTTACTTTCCTAGTGAAAGCAGAGAAATTTGGGAAAAGCCAGCCATAGCAAGACCCTTAAAATATTTGTTTCGTGATGTAACAAATTCTGAAATATGCAATGTTTTCCTTCTAGTCATAAAGTAGAGTAACTCTGAGCACAATAAATTTATACATAGGAATAGGAATATTGAAATTAACATATAATGAGCTATTTGATTTTTTTCCCCCCAGGAGAGACTATAAATTTTCAGGAAAGTCAAAGTCAATAGTTCTAAACTTTTTTTTTTCCTTGTAGAAAGTCATTAATTGCTACTGTGGAAAAACAACTTCTAGGTGAACACTTAACAGCAATTCTTCAGAAAGGTAATTGGTAATTTACAAATAAGAGATTACTTTTAAAATGGTAGCAGCAAACAAGTAGAAAAATTTTTAAAGATTGCCCTTTTAAAAGTTTGGTAGCGTGTGGCTGCATTTCTGAGGAGGGACACAACCCCTTTTCCCTATTCATCACAGTAAACTTTCAGGAGGTGCCTGTTTCCTTAACTTAAAGATACAGGGAGTGAGATGAGAGGAGACTACCAACTCCAGTAAAGAAACAGTGGGAATTGGGGAATTCTTGATACAATTTTTAAGACTGAAGTAATAAGGAAATGCATTCCTTTTCACACTGAAATGTTTTTGTTTCTAGCATATAAAACCAAGCATTTCTGTTAATCCTAAGTGATCTATGAGTATACCCTGAATTTTACTTTGACAATGCTACAAATAGGCAAAAAAGTCTTACCTTTCTCTCCAGCCATCTTTTCTTTTGTTTAAGGTATTTTAGTACATTAATGCAGTTACACTTTTATTTCATTCTGAAAATCAAATACTTTAGAACTTCATTTAAACTTGGCCTATTGATGCATGGTTTTTGATATACCACAGGCCATATCCAATACTCTGAAATATATATATGTGTATACTAATGCAAATATAATGTGGCTATTGCACATATGAGGTATTTATAATGTGTATTTATGTAAACCAATTTTTATAAGTTGGTTTATACATCTCATCTACTATGCTAAATGGTACAAACCATAACACAATTTTTGTTTTTATATAAAGTTCCCTATAGTTAGATTTCACTTGGAAAGGTGATTGTTTCTTTGAGTTTAATTCAAAGCACATCTCTGTATTAAAATCACAGACTAGTCATAGTTCAGACCAGTATCACAATAACTTATTTTTCATTAAAATATCTGACATTTTTGTTCACTTTTTTAATACCAAATGTTTCAAAATTCAGGTTTAAATAGCCTCCTTGATGAAAACCGAATTCAAGATTTATCTCTCCTGTATCAGCTCTTCAGTAGAGTTCGAGGTGGTGTTCAGGTTCTCTTGCAGCAGTGGATTGAATACATTAAGGTATTAACATTAACCTGTTTTTTTTCTCTCTCATGGCTTATAATCTATACATCTAGAGTACATATCAGCAAGAATTTATTTGTTAGATCCTTTTTTTTTTTTTTAAGTAATGGGCATTTTGGGAACAGTCAACCTGAGAATGATAGCTGTGTGGCAAATTAGTAATAAAACAGTTCTCTTCTTGATGTCTGATGTGATTTCTAGCTCCAATAATTATAGCAGTGAATGTGGAAAAAGGAAGAGGGCTTTTTTTGGATCCAAATTTCTTTCCTTTCTTTGATCTTACACTGAAGGCAGATTGCTGTTTTTTAAAAATTCAACCCGACTTTTTTAAAAGTAGGAAAAAGACCCTAGAGACTTCTACAATAATGCCCCATTATGATATTATATAGCCAGTGGCCATTACTTATTTTATGACTATAGATGAATGGCATCAGTCTGGATGTTTTATAACTTTATTTTTTTTATTTTCTTGACTTCAAAGCCAGCTTTATCTTAATTTTTTGAGATTTTAAAGTATGTGTATCTACTTAAAATATGATTTGGGGATTGTTTTCATTGCAGATAATTAAATTCTAATAGAAAGTCATTTTTGTTTCTTTAGGCATTTGGTAGCACTATTGTAATTAATCCTGAAAAGGATAAAACCATGGTTCAAGAATTGCTGGATTTTAAAGATAAGGTTGACCATATAATTGATATCTGTTTCCTGAAGAATGAAAAATTTATCAACGCCATGAAAGAAGCATTTGAAACATTCATTAACAAAAGACCAAACAAACCTGCTGAACTTATAGGTATTTCTCTAGTCCCTTTTCCCAGTTCTTTAATGTTCTTCTTTTACTCATAAAATTCCAGTTAACCTGAAATTTTGACAAGGTTTTGTATATTAACACCTAATTTATTTGGAGTTGCATACTTGGTGGTTTCTAAGAAGCTGGATGCAAGGAATAAGTCCTTCATGCTAAAGAATATCTCAAAACCCACATGTCAAACATGGTCTTTCTTTGTAAGACCCTACTTACTTTTATTTATAAAAAGCTTGATAGCTGTTTTACAAGCCTCCTGCAATTTAGAGGCGAGGCAGGGTGCCATTTCTTGAGGCCCACACATAGGGCTACAGGAAAGGGTAGCACAAAATTACAGTTGCCAGTGAGAAAGGTAGAATGTCCAGGATGAAAATAAACCTAATAATCTGGGCCCATTTAGAGTAAAAGGTGTGGTATACTTCAGTTCTCAGTTTTTCCCACCTGGGTACCCCTTAATGTCGAGGAGGAGGTAGCTGAGAAGGTCCTTCACCAAAAGGGTGAAATTTTTTTTTTTTTTAAATTTTTGACTACGTTGGGTCTTCGTTGCTGCGCGCGGGCTTTCTCTAGTTGTGGCGAGCGGGGGTTACTCTTCGTTGTTGTGCGCGGGCTTCTCATTGCGGTGGCTTCTCTTGTCGTGGAGCATGGGCTCTAGGCGCGCGGGCTTCAGCAGTTGTGGCACGTCGGCTCAGTAGTTGTGGCTCACGGGCTCTAGAGCGCAGGCTCAGTAGTTGTGGCACACGGGCTTAGTGGCTCCGTGGCGTGTGGGATCTTCCCGGACCAGGGATCGAACCCGTGTTCCCTGCATTGGCAGGTGGATTCTTAACCACTGCCCCACCAGGGAAGTCCCAAAAGGATGAAATTTTGTTGGTTTACTACTTACCCTTAAAATTTTTGCAAAATTTGCCTCCTACTCTGTAATGTATCTGGTTTGTTTTAATAGAAAAGGGTTTAAGATTGCCTACCATCAGTGTAAAATGAATACTCCAGAAGATGTGCCGTGTCTTTCAATGGCTTTGATGACCCCAGCACAGGGCTGTATACACCCCCTGCCCCCGGGGTACCCATATCCCGCATATCCCATTTTTAGTAAGCATCAGTATGGTAGAAAGTACATTAGATGTGGAGCCAGAAGACTTGGGTTTGAGTTGAGACTCTTGTATTTTTTAGCTCTGTGACATTGAACAAGTCACTTGGTCTCCCTGACTTTGGAGACTGTTTTAAAAATGCATGTACACATGTGAAACATTGAAAAAGTCAGTATATCATACTCCTGTTTGGTATTTATAGTGACCAGTACCTCATGGATACATGATCACTAAACAACAAACTTTCCCCCCATTTTAGCTAAGTATGTAGATTCAAAGCTTCGCGCAGGCAACAAAGAAGCTACAGATGAAGAACTTGAGAAAATGTTGGATAAGATTATGATTATATTTAGATTTATCTATGGTATGTATTTTTGTTTTAATATTTTTCTTTTAAAACAAAGCACTCAACAGAGAAACTAGCGAGTATAACCAACCTAGAAGGTATATTTATTTGGGGGTTAGCTATTTAAAATTCTGTTACATTCCTTGCATTTAATTTATTGGGGTACTTGAGGAATGTTACTTAATTGCCTTGTGCTTTAACTTTTCCACTATTAAGAGCCTTGAATTTTGCTATTTATTTTCATCTCTAGAGTATTGATGCTAAAGCTACTAGTTGACTAAAGCTTTTCTAAAGAAAAGTTAATTCAGTCTTAATTCTTTACAGCAAAGAACTTTTGAAAGGTTTGGCACAAAAATCTACCTCTAATGTTTCTTGCATTTAGCAAACTTGGATAAAATCTATAAATTTAAATAACTTGGAGTAATGGTGCGATTTATTAAGCACTTTGAGTCAATTTTGTCAAAACCTTGTATTGGAGTATTATGAGAGTTGTGTTTTATTGTTTAACATAGGCAAGGATGTTTTTGAGGCCTTCTATAAGAAAGATTTAGCCAAGCGCCTGTTAGTTGGGAAGAGTGCATCTGTGGATGCTGAAAAATCAATGCTGTCCAAACTTAAACATGGTATGTTTGTCATTCTTTCTGTTCCTTTTCTTCTTTGATTTCTGAGAGAAAATGTTAGCTTAGTTTTTACTCTTTCAGTCAGTTGCCTCTTTTGTCAATCATTGTATGTTCGTATGATAAAAACGTAAATTGAGTAAGCTCATTAGGTTTCCAACCTATTTACATATCCAGAGCTGTTGTGATTTTATTTTTAAATAAAGCATTGTTCTTTTATTATTTGTGTAAAAGTTTCCCATTTATCTTATGGCTAAGTAGTATATAAGGTTACTACAGGATTAAAGATTTGACTCTGAATTAGTGGGGCATACACTTTGGGGTAAGGATTTTTTTGTTCTTATGAATAGTTACAGATCATATTTCATGCTAAAGTAAGTTTTATATTTCATGTTTTCAATTCTAAATTCTGTGTTTTTACCACTTTAAAATACTGTAAATGTACAAACATCTTTAATAGAATGTGGAGCTGCTTTCACCAGCAAACTTGAAGGAATGTTTAAAGACATGGAACTTTCTAAAGACATCATGATTCAGTTCAAACAGGTAAAAGTGAGTTAAACTCTTACTTAATTCCTCCAACTTAAATGTATTTCGTTATCTCCTTACTTTGGTTTGTACTGAAGACGATAAATAGAAACATGTATTTGTTATAAATACTTCATAGCAACTTAGATGATAGTCACAGTAGAGGAAAAAAATCACGAATGAAATGTAAGTATATTTGACCTACTTCAAAATTTATTCTCAGTATACACCCAAGATAACACAAAAATAGAAATAAAATGTATTGAAGAGAAGTAAGGACAAGAAAAGCTGTAGCTAGTGAGAACAGGGCTTCTAGCATCTAATCGCTGTTGGTGAGTTGCATATTCAAAGCTGGTGATGGGGAGGGAGGAGAAGTGATAGAGTGGTTGTATAAGGCCTTTAGGGACATTGGGAATGAAAAGCTAGATCCATAGTTTTGCAGATGTTGGTAGAGGCTGGTTTTAAATTTTTGAGATTATAGGTAATAGTGATAGCAAAGTAGATTTTCCTCTCCTAGGGTTTTAATAATGACTTCTTTACCACTATATTGCTACTGTGGGAAATGAGAGTGGAAGACTCGAGAAAGATCAGGGTCAGTAGGATCATGGGTCCTGTAGTCGCTACAGAATAGGGTTTATTTGCTTTGCCCTTTCCCCTTCTTCCTTCCCCATTTCAGGTCACCCCCTGCAAACAGGCAGTGGAGCAGGTGAAAAACCAGAGACTTGGACTGGCTGGTGGGGTGAGGAATGGGGGTTGCTGCCAGGTTTTCCAAGCCACATAGGGGTCTCCAGAGATGGGGACTGCAGGTGGTATGGGGAAAGGAATGGAGAAGAAATCCTATAACAGCCCAGTCATATGTGAGAAATTATTTATTTAAGTCGTTAATGCCTCTAACAGAGTCACGTGATCTTTGTGTGCCATTGTAGCAAAATGTTACCCAGTGTACTTTTCTAGTGCACTTAATATAGGCTTCATTTATAGTCCTTTTAATAGTTGCCTTTTATTTTAAAGATCGTCAGTATTCACATGTAGTTTTGTAATGGGGAACTTCTTAAATGGGTCATTATTATGGCATGAAATGTATGCACTTTTATTTTTTAAGATCTCAGTGTGTGTGTTGATCTTATTGTAGTATATGCAGAACCAGAATGTACCTGGGAATATTGAATTAACTGTGAATATCCTGACGATGGGTTATTGGCCAACATATGTGCCTATGGAAGTTCATTTACCACCAGAGGTAAGAGTTGCTGTTTAGGACTTGAGTTATAAGCATAGAAATACGTGACATTTCTATTTTGCTTATCATTGAAAAATATGTACTTTTTTAAAAGTTTGTTGTCAGTAAGCACGCCACCACCAAATGTCAACTGTTTTTAATACTTTACTCTTTTATTTATATTACTCTTGTACTTATATCATTAGAGCATAGCTAAAGATGCCAAGTTTCTGAGTTCAGGGCCAATTTGCTTGACTCTTCTTTCAGTTCCCCAGATTGTACCCATCACTCTGCCCAGCTCTCAAAAATTCTTGTCCGTATATCACCTGGGGGTTGGACTGCTGAGTGATGGATGCTTGAGTAAATCCAACCTAACTCCTGGGGAAATGTCTTAACCCAGGACTGAAGCTTAGAAAAGGGTTAAGGCTAGAGAGATAGATACTGAGAGTCCTCCATGGAGATAATCATGGAAGCCCAGGGAGCAGATCTCCCTCATTAAGAGGGAGAATGTGGAAACAGGAAGAACAGGCCTAAGGCAGAACTTTGAAAAAGGCTCACATTTGGTAGGTGGTAGGAAGAGGTACCTGTGAGGGGATCCAATGAAGAAGCAATAGTGAGATAAAGGAACCAGCATGTTGCAGAGACACAGAAGACATTGGAGATGAATGTTTCAAAAGAGGGGATGATAAAATGTTGCAGACAGATCAGAGAGTGTAAAGACTGATTAATGCCATTAGATTTGGTGGTTATTAACTTACATCAAAGTGATCAGTGGACCTGCTCTGTATAGTCTTTAAAACTTCCAGAAATTTTTACACCAGATAAATATAAAAAGTGGTGAACGTGATATTGGATACAGAGCTTAAATAAAGTTTTGTTTTATTTATTGTAGATGGTAAAACTTCAGGAGATTTTCAAGACCTTTTACCTAGGCAAACATAGTGGCAGGAAACTTCAGTGGCAGTCAACCCTAGGACACTGTGTGCTAAAGGCAGAATTTAAAGAGGTAAGTGGATGTTCCCCAAACTTAGTTTTCACCTTCATCTTTGATATTGAGGTCATCCCTCTTAATTTGAAGGTTTAAGGTGTTTTATAAATTTGTCCTGAATACCTGCATGAGATAGTGATAGCTTGTCACAGCCCTGTGTATATTATAAGAATGTGGTCTTTTCCACTGTTGATTGGGCCCTGCTGCAAAACCAAAACCAATAACCCTTTTCTCCCACACCCTTTCCCCACCTGTGGATGCAAAATTCACACTGCCACTTCTTTTTTAAATTTTTATTTATTAATTTATTTATCTATGGCTGTGTTGGCTCTTCGTTTCTGTGCGAGGGCTCTCTATAGTTGCGGCGAGCGGGGGCCACTCTTCATCGCAGTGCGCGGGCCTCTCACTATCGTGGCCTCTCTTGTGGCGGAGCACAGGCTCTCGAGCGCAGGCTCAGTAGTTGTGGCACACGGGGCCAGTTGCTCCACGGCATGTGGGATCTTCCCAGATCAGGGCTCGAACCCGTGTCTCCTGCATTGGCAGGCGGATTCTCAACCACTGCGCCACCAGGGAAGCCCCCACGCTGCCACTTCTTGACAGGAAACTTCTTTTCTTGTTGCTGGGAGCTAGAGAATAGAGTGGGCGTTAAGGGGAACAGTTCTTATATCAATTTCAAAAAATCCTACAGCTTTTCATGACTAATCTGAATCAGAAGAGTTGAAAATGCATTGAAATAGTGATTTCTTGTTGCTCATGATAAATATCTGTAATGACACATAAAACCGAGTTATTAATTTTCATTACTTTGTTGTTTTAATTATAAGACTTAAAAAAAGACCTGTAGAAAGGTCACCCAATCCTTCCTCCTGTTTTAGGTAGGATCACACCTAAACCCTACTCTGAACATACTGGCCTTTCTGGATAATGTTAATCCGAGTTTCTAAATCCACTAATTGAAAAATGCTTTTCCAGTAAGAGATTAGTTATTTGATTAATTTTCATGCAGCTTTTAAAAAAATGATGGCTAAACACTGTTGTTTCTCCAACAGGGTAAAAAGGAACTCCAGGTCTCTCTTTTTCAAACACTGGTGCTGCTAATGTTTAATGAGGGAGAAGAGTTCAGTTTAGAAGAGATCAAGCAGGCTACCGGAATAGGTTTGTGTTGAATCGTTTGATTAGCATGCATTTTTCGGTGTCCACTATGTGCACTCCACTTGGTTAAGAGCTCTGGGGGACTATAAAGGGATAATCCCCCTCCTCAGCACTTGGGGAACCATGGGGAAAGGGAGAAATGACACTTAATTTCACAACAAATAAGTACCAATCTGTGGTGCTGACAGAGTGTGTTAGGAGTTCAGTGAAGCAAGAGATAACTGTGGACTGGCACAATTGGGAAAGCCTTCATGAAGGAGGTAGGACTTGGGCTGGGCCTTCAGATTTAAGTTAGGGAGAAGGCATAGTTTGCAAGAGGAAATACCATGAGAAAAGGTGTGGAGGAAGGACTCAGCACAGTGTGGGCAGGAGTCATAAGAAGTTTAACTGCAGCATAGAGTAGTGAGATACAAAGTTAGATAGGTAAGATATGGAGAGCCTTACAGATCTAGCAAGTGAAACATACATTGTAGGATCTCAAGTGTGTGACATATTGGAAGTGACTTATTTGGGCAGCTTGCCTATAATCAGTAGATAGTAGGGCAGCTTGAAGGATGAAGAGATTCCAGTCCAAAAGCTAATGGGGTAATTCAGGCGTAAAGTGATAATGAGCTTAGACTAGAATGAGGCCAATGAGAAGAGAGACGAAGCATCTCTAAGGAAGCAACTACTAGATATGTGGAGGATGCAGGAGAGGGAAGAGTTAAAAGATGATTCCAGGGTTTCTCACCAGAGGAGGTTGGTAGCTTCATAACTAACAATTGGAAAGAAAACAGTTTTATGGGGAAGATGATGAATAAAACGTTGGACATACTAAAATTGATGATAGTAAAAGAGCCAGCTGGAGGTATCCTTTAAATGTAGGACTGGGGAAAATGAGATGTCATTTCTGAAGATGTGGTGGTTATTCACTCGGAATGATAACTGAAGCCTTTAGAGGACGACCAGGAAAAAAGCCATTGGATAGGACAAAGAGGAAGTTGTTCATGATCTTGGGGAAAAAAGGAAACAGTTTTAATAGATGGGTGGGGTAGGAGCTAGATTGAGGTTGAATGTAACTGTGCGTGTTGATGAGTTAGTAACAAATAACTAAGCCACTCTTTCTTCTTCAGAGGATGGGGAGTTAAGAAGAACACTGCAGTCATTGGCTTGTGGCAAAGCTAGAGTTCTGGCGAAAAATCCAAAGGGTAAAGATATTGAAGATGGTGACAAGTTCATTTGTAATGATGATTTCAAGCACAAACTTTTCAGGATAAAGATCAATCAAATTCAGATGAAAGAAACGGTATTTCTTTTGCATTCTCCTCATTCTAATGTACTGGTATATATGTTCATAATAAAGATTTATAAAGAAGGTTTTAGCCTAGAATACTACCACTAACATTAACATTATCTATGCCTATATCTAGCTCAGTGTATTTCAGTATTTGATTTTGCAGGTTTTGAGGGGGCGGGGGTGTACACAATTGGGCCTGATAGTTTTATATCCTGCTTTTTGTGTGTTTAAATTAAGACTTTAGAATTTTTAAAAATTTATTTATTTATTTTAGGCTGCATTGGATCTTCGTTGCTGCTCGCAGGCATTCTCTAGTTGCAGTGAATGGGGGGCTACTCTTCGTTGCGGTGTGCAGACTTCTCATTGCGGTGGTTTCTCTTGTTGTGGAGCACGGGCTCTAGGCACGCGAGCTTCAGTAGTTGTAGCACACAGGCTCAGTAGTTGTGGCTCACGGGCTCTAGAGCACAGGCTCAGTAGTTGTGGCACGTGGGCTTAGTTGCTCCGTGGCATATGGGATCTTCCCGGACCAGGGCTCGAACCTGTGTCCCCTGCCTTGGCAGGCAGAATCTTTTTTTTTTTTTTTCCGGCAGGCAGATTCTTAACCACTGTGCTACCAGGGAAGCCCCAGGTCTTTAGAATTTTTCCATGCCATTAAGCATCTTTATAAAATGGCAGATGGCCACACAATATTCTTTTACACAGCTATAATAATTTATTCAACCAATGTCCATTGTTGGGCACTTAAATTCATAACTTCTTAGTATTGTAAATAAAACAGCAAGATACATCTCTGTACCTAAATCTTAATCTCTCTGATCCTTTCCTTACGAATTTACCATGGAAGTAGATTTTTTGGGTTAAGGAGTGTGAACATTTTAAGAGTCTGAATACGTTATGCCATTTTGTGTTCTAGAAAGATTGGACCAATTTACACTGTCTAATGTGAGTGCCTGTCTTACTGTGCCCTTGCCAGCACTAAAGATTATATTTTCTTTTTTTAATCTTTTCCAGCTTGCTTGGTGAAAAATTGGAAGGTTTAGTTAGTGTTTCTTTGATCAACAGTGAATATTTTGTTTGTTTTTACCATTTGAATTTGTAAGAGATTTTTATTAAGGAAACCAACAACTGCAGCATTTCCTGAAACCAGTTGGTTTCAATTCCAACAAGGTTTAATGCAGTACTTGAGAAAAAGTTTTATAATAAGGATAGAAGTCAAGGTCGCAAACAAGTTCCTGTCTCGTTAACATTCACATCAGAGGCGTGATATTCCCTTAGATTACTGTGTTATTTTAAAACATGTGCTGTATCAGAAAGAAACTAACTGCGAAAAGCCCAAACTAGGGACTTCCCTGGCAATTCAGTGGTTAAGACTCTGCACTTCCACTGCAGAGGGCACAGGTTCGATCAGGGGAATAAAGATCGCGCATGCCGAGTGATGAGGCAACAAAAAAGCAAAGCCCAAAGAGGAACATTCTTGCTTTAGCATTAGAATTGGTTAACTAACTTTTTTTAAACTGTGCATTTCTGATTTATATATTACAAAATAAAAATTAATGAAAAATAATTTGGGACTTCCCTGGTGGCACAGTGGTTAAGAATCCGCTTGCCAATGCAGGGGACATGGGTTCGATTCCTGGTCCGGGAAGATCCCACATGCCGCGGAGCAACTAAGCCTGCGCACCACAACTACTGAGCCTGTGCTCTAGAGCCCGCGAGCCGCAACTACTGAAGCCTGCGCTCCTAGAGCCCATGCTCTGCAACAAGAGAAGCCACTGCAATGAGAAGCCCACACACCACAACGAAGAGCAGCCCCCGCTCGCCACAACTACAGAAAGCCTGCACAGCAACGAAAATCCAAGGCAGCCAAAAAATAAAATACAATAAAATAAAATGTTAAAAAAAGAGTTTGACTACTGGTTAGCTTAGCTGGTTAGTATCATACTTTGAGTCAGATGTCAGAATCAGTCACTTTTACAGATAAGCTAATGTCGTACAGAAATCTGGTCAATAACCTTGTGACACATTAAGATTTTGAGAAGAGAGTAAAAGAAAATGATAAATTCTGCATCAGCTGTCTCTTTCTAGAAAAGCAGCTCAAAGATGGTATTTTTCTATTAACTAATATTGGTGTTACTTCATTGATACAGGACATTAGGCCAGATAGGAGTTATGTTTGTAGGGTTTTTTCTGTCCTTGTCAGTATTCATAAGGTTTCTTTTGATAGTTCAGCATATTTAAAGCATTAACTGTGTCATGTCCCTAAAATGTACAATTTGTATAAGTAATCAAGTTTCACTTCAGGTACAGTTCCTAAGTTTAAAACTTTTTTGTTAGGTTGAGGAACAAGCAAGCACCACAGAAAGAGTATTTCAAGACAGACAGTATCAAATTGATGCTGCAATTGTTCGAATTATGAAGATGAGAAAGACACTTAGCCACAATCTCCTTGTTTCAGAAGTGTACAACCAGTTGAAATTTCCAGTAAAGGTAGGTACTTCTGTATTTTATTATTGAGCTGCTTATATATACAAAATATTGAGTTTATTATATATAAAAATTAGATTTTTCAGACACAAGTCTTACAAACATAGAATAAAACCTCAAGACCATTTGGAGGGATAAAAGTTTTCATTTCTTATGCTCATATATATGATTCCAGAAAACCTTTGTTGGCATATGTGGGCATCTGTGACAAAAGGGGAAAACAATTTATAAAAGCTCCTATACCTGAAAGTTTAGCTGCTAAGTGAGTCTTTGAAATTTTCAAGTTTATTCACTTTATTTTTTGAGCTTCTTTGTTAGTTTTGTTTCCTTTTTCTCCTTGAAATACCTAGCTATTAGACAGATTTGGTTATTTTAATTAAGTTAAATCTATTTAGTTTGCTTGTGTAAGTGTCCATTAAAAACTATACAGATAACTAGTAATCATTAGGCATCTTTTTTAAAGCTTAGGGGTAGTTCTGGCAATCAAATGGACATGTTCCATTATAAATGCCCAGTAATAAAGCGCCTTAGACAATGTCGTGTTGTACTGGACTGTATCTCATGTTTTAGAAGATTCCCAAACTCTTATGATGATAAACACTTCGTAAAGTTTGGATAGACTCTTGGCTGTTAGGGTTCTCATGAGCTTTGGGCCTAGGTAAGTCATTTCACCTCTTGAGCTTGTTTCCTCTTTTGTAAAATGGAGATGATAATAGTACTTATCTCGTAGGATTATTGTGAAGCTTAAATGAGATAATATATGTAAAACTTAGCACTGGGCCTGGCACATAAGTGCTCATTAGCTGTCACTGCTAATAAGGTAGGCTTTCTCTCTCCTCCAAACCTAATACTGCCTCCTCATTACCACACTCTCACCCTCATGTTCTGCCTTAACAATCATTTCACCTCTAGCCAGAGAGATCACTGATGCTAGCTAGCTAGGGAAGGTAGAGGATCACTGTAATAAATATTGCGCTGATATTCTAGGTCTTTCACCATAATTAAGAGAAAGTCATTTTGATTTTCAAATCTTGGAATTCAAACTTTGGTGAAATTTTGGCTGCCCCATCAAACTACTTTCCCTTTTTACCTTTCTTGATCAAGTACCCATTTTACACAATCTGAAAAAATGTTAGCAAGCAAGATTATATTGTCTTTATAGGCTAGATACAAAAGACAGTGGAATTTTGTTACCCAAGAGCTAAGAATGCAATCATGAGAACAAGCTATAATCTTTCTCAATGATTTTTCAACAAACAGGATTCAAAAATTCAAATCATTTATAGCAGGTAACAGTTAAACCTTAAACCTGAAATACGAAGATCTGAATTAGATGATACTTCACTTATCAAACCATTTGTTGTAGTATTCTTGTAAATAGTGATTTCCATAGTACATTTTTTATTTAATTTATAAATATGCAACCTGACTTTGAGAACCAGCTTTTGTCCAAATTTAGGGTCTACTTATTTTCTCAAACTATCTTGGCAAAACTAAATAGCATTCTGTTTCCTTAAACTATACTGTGTTCCTTTTGTGGAGTTATGGTAGTCTTTTGTATTCGTGCAGAGAATAGCTGGTTCTTAGAAGACCTCTTTAAAATAGAAAAGTAAAGTATTGTATAACAGTTTGACAGGGGACTTCCTTGGTGGTCCAGTGACTAAGACTCCCCACTCCCAGTGCAGGGGGCCTGGGTTCGATCCCTGGTGACGGAACTAGATTCCACATGCCACAACTAAAGATCCTGCACGCAGCAACAAAGACTCCTCATGCTGCCGCAACTAAGACCCAGCACAGCCAGATAGATAGGTAGATATAGATAGATACATAGGTAGATAAATAGATAAACAGATAAATAAATAAGATGTGACAATGTATGTATAGTGTAAAAACATCTTTTAACCTGGTTTATTTTCATTATACTTTCCTCTTTAAAAAATCAAGGAGATTTAAAAATTTTAAATTAAAAAATATTAAGATTTTTAAAATAAAAATTAAAAAATATTAAGGAGATTAAATACATTAACTCAATGAGCCAAAACTGTTCTTTTTTTTTTTTTCATGGGGTATTGGTAAATGGGCTTGAGCTAGTGATTATGAGCTTTGCACTGAAAATTTGCCTTCTCTTACAGCCTGCTGATCTTAAGAAGAGAATAGAATCCTTAATTGACCGGGACTACATGGAAAGAGATAAAGAAAATCCAAACCAGTACAATTATATTGCATAAAATGTTGGCCTTGGAGCATTTGGTGTCATAAACAGTAACCAGTGGATAAACTAACCTGTTATTATTTGACTTCTTTTATACTACCAATGACCAAATGAAGCAGTGTAATGGAAATAGTTGAGTGACTTTTCAGTGGTTAACATGCCCATTTAAAGAGTAATACTTACCTTTAAGAAGAATGTTGTTGAACTCTTTGCATGTTATTTAGTATGATGTGCAGAAAACTCTTAAGAAAGTACCTGGTCTTCATGATTCCTATTTGGAACTGGGGAAGAGGTCCCTATGGCTATTAAAAAAAAGAGGAGGGGGGTTCTTATACACCATTAATTATGAAGCAAAAGGTTTATTTGCTTAAAATGTCATTTAAAGATACTTAAACTGCATGCAAACTTTATTTACTGTACAGAGTTCTGGATGTATTTATCAAATAGAAAAACCACCCTGGACTTGGTTGTTCACCTGTTTTGTGATTTCCCTTGAAGAGAAAAATAAGTTGTCATAGCTATTGATATTTTACTAAGTAATGTTCTGTTACACTGAAAGGGATGTTTTTAAATTTTTTATTTGGAAACAAGTTTTCAAGCAGAGGGACAGTTGCTTACATAGTCTTGTATACACACATCCTAAAATGTTCCCATGGGATGTGTGTATATGGTTCAGCCCTGAGTTTACTGTGCTGATTAACAGGTACTTATAAAAATAGCTGAAATAGAAAATTGCTGGTCAGTTGTACTAGAAGAACATGGTAGGAGAGAAAAATCCAACTCTTTCTTCATATTAAAAATGAATATAATATGAACATCGCAAAAGAGACCAAAACCCACGTGTTGTGTAACTTTTTACAAGAGCAAAAATTCATAAACTAGTTTTCAACTTCCTTTAGACTTTAATGTTGTTTGGACAGTTTTGTCTTTAACTTGGACCAATTGTAGATTGTTACAGGCTTCCTGGGATTTAGCATTCCTATTTTCTTTACCAAAGTTTTTTTTTTGGAAGCACCTCAACTCTCCTTTTTGTTGGCATATAAGCATTTCCTTTCATCCTTATTTTAACTTCCTAAAGCCCTAGATAGAACTAGATCCTTCCTCATTTCCCCCATACACCCCCTAGTTGGGAATTTCAAATTCTGTATTATGCTGATCTTATTCCTTTCAAAATTGCTTGAAGATAAAGAGTTCTCATAGCCACTGGACACCTACCTTTCAGGGGAATGTCCTAGGATTGTTCATACATAGAAAATAGCAGAAGTATTGTTTTTCAAATTGATAATGTGAGTAAAAGTCTTCTCTTTTACCATCAGTGGTTTTTTGTTTTTGGGTTTGGGGTTCTGTTTTGCTTCCTTGTTTGTTTTTCCTTGAAGCTTTGAAGTGAATTGATCTTGGAGGAAAAGCAGAAATTTTGTTTTGATTTTTAAAAAAATCAGAACTGCTTTAATGCTTTTTCACTGCCGTGGCCTCTCCCATCGCGGAGCACAGGCTCCGGACGCGCAGGCTCTGGACGTGCAGGCTCAGCGGCCATGGCCCATGGGCCCAGCCGCTCTGCGGCATGCGGGACCCTCCCAGACCGGGGCACGAACCTGCGTCCCCTGCATCGGCAGGCGGACTCTCAACCACTGCGCCACCAGGGAAGCCTGCTTTAATGCTTTTTTGCAGCAGTATATTTCCTTGACTATTTGGAACCATTAAGAAGAATACCTAGGCCCTAACCCTCAACTGAGACTTTTGGCTCTTGTGTTTGCTATTGATTGTTTTCTTGAGTTCTCAAAGACCTGTGACCAGCTATTCTATTTAAAGTTGCCTGTTTTCTTTATAACTACATCAAACTTACACACTGTTGTCCACTGTATGTGGTATTTAGAATGCCTTCCTAACTATTTTTGAGCAGCCATTGCCTGTATTTTCTTTTTCTTTTTCTTTTTTTTTATCGGTACGTGGGCCTCTCACTGTTGTGGCCTCTCCCGTTGCGGAGCACAGGCTCCGGACGCGCAGGCTCAGCGGCCACGGCTCACGGGCCCAGCCGCTCCGCGGCATGTGGGATCTTCCCGGACTGGGGCACGAACCCGTGTCCCCTGCATCGGCAGGCGGACTCTCAACCACTGCGCCACCAGGGAAGCCCTGCCTGTATTTTCTTAGAGCCTCCCTGGTTTCCTTAACTGAGCTTATCTGACAAGGAAATGCAGCTATTTTTTTGCCCTCTCTCCATACTGGACCATCTAAGTCAGTGTTCTAACTCATCCCTGATGGTCTGTGAGATACGTAGACTGTTCCACCAGACTCAATAATTACTCTTAAGGAATTTTTAGGTAGAATTGGTACCATTAGGAGACTCTTGGTGTTACCTTTGTTACCTTGAAAGCTGGTCCCTTCCCTGAGGCTCTTAATTTTTTGAAAACTTGATGCTATTTCAGCTGAAAAAATTGGTGAGACTATTAAACAAATTGAGGGAAGCTGTTTAAGAAATTGAAAAGTAATCGCAAACAACATTGGATAATTGTGACTTTCAGTTCTGTATCAGTTGAATTTTTGTGCTCTTTTCCCTGTGTACGTGGTGGTTCTATTTTTCTCCAATAAAACTTTTATTTAAAAAAAGTTTCTGGAGAAGATCTTTAAAATTCAAATATTGTAGGAATATTATAAAACCACAGAACTTAACATCTTCCTAATGATTTCTTTAATGAATTCACAGTTGTCAGTTTTGTTATTTTTTAAGTTTCTTTTTAATTTTTGTGGTGGTTTGATAGTAATGCTGTAGGAATGTGGAGGGGAAGGTATGGTAACGGATGATTCCCAGGAATCCTCAAGGTGAGTATTTATTCTTAAATGTTCTATTTTAGAAAAATCAAGCACAAGTAGAAGCATTGTTTCATCCAAATCCTCAGAGTCAAGTAGTTTCATAAAGTCAGTATGAAACTAGTCTAGATTTAAGTTGAGAAGGATTGGTCTTAATTCTTTAAATACTTACTAGAATTCATGAAGCTATCTGGTCCTGGGCTTTCTTTTATGGGGAGTTTTTTGATTATTGATTCAATCTCTTAATAGTTTTTTTCAGATTTTCTATTTCTTGAGTCAGTTTTAGTATTTTGTCTTAACTACCCTGACTTTTGTCTAGTATTTGCTTGGTATATCTCTTCATTGCTTAACAGCCTTTTCTTATATTTTAGGTGTGTCTCTTCCATATTAGATGGATTTTCTCATCTTTCCCCTAATCTGACAGTTTCTGTCATTTTTTTCATAATATACATTTATTTTTTTATTGAGGTATAGTTGAAGACAATTTCTGTCCTTTAACTGGAAGATTATATCCATTTGCATTTGTTTCTAACATCTTACTGGTTGCTCTTATCTCTTCTAATTTTCTTTGCTTTTTCTCCTTTCTCAGCTTTAAAAAATATATATTGAGTTTTGTTTATTTTTTTATTCCATTTTCCCCACTACTTATTTGGAAGTTATATATTCTATTTCTTTTCTTTTACTGATTACCCTTGATATGTTAGCATATATGCTTAACAAAGTCAAAAATATCTAAATTTTCCTCCCAATTAATATAAAGATGTTAAAACACTTTAATACTGATCACCTCTCCCCCAACTTAACACAGTGTTGTTGTCCAGTGTTTTAGTTTTGTCCTCTTTTAAATATGAACACCACAAATTAAAACATTAGTCTCTGCTCAAACACCACCTTCTCAGTGAAGCTTACCATAGCCATTCTATTTAAAATTTCAACTTGCCCACCAACGCCACCACACACTACCGATTCCACACTCACCCTGCTCTTTTTCCTTTTTTACATATCATTTGTTACCTTTTACATACTATACAATTTACTTGTTAACAATACTTACGGCATATTGTCTGTTTACTCCGCTAGTGTAGAGTTTAAGCTCCATTAGGGCAGAGACCTTTGTTTTGTTCATTGATGCATCTCGAACACTTAGGGAAGTTTCTAGCCATAGTAGGTGCATTAGGTTCCTGTGGCTGCTGTAACAAATTACCACAATTGTAGTGGCTTAAAACAACAGAAATTAATTCTCTCACATTTCTAGAGGCCAGAAGTCAGAAATCAGCTTTACTGGGCTGAAGTCAAGGTGTTCGCAGGGCCACACTCTCTCTAGAGCTACATTTCCTTGGCTCATGTCCCCTCCCTCCACTTTATTTTCTTTTTCTTTTTTTGTTTTCTTGTCCCTTCCTCCAAGTTAAAAGCTGGTTCCATAACATCTTTTTTTTTACTGTTTTTTTTAATGTATTTATTTTTATTATTTATTTTAATTTTGGCTGTGTTGGGTCTTCTTTGCTGTGCGTGGGCTTCCTCTAGTTGCGGGTAGCCGGGGCTACTCTTCGTTGCAGTGTGCAGGCTTCTCACTGTGGTGGCTTCTCTTGTTGTGCAGCATGGGCTCTAGGTGCTTGGGCTTCAGTAGTTGTGGCACATGGGCTCAGTAGTTGTGGCTTGCGGGCTCTAGAGCACAGGCTCAGTAGTTGTGGCACGTGGGCTTAGTTGCTCCACGGCATGCGGGATCTTCCCAGACCAAGGATCAAACCCGTGTCCCCTGCATTGGCAGGCAGATTCTTAACCACTGCGCCACCAGGGAAGCCCTCAACCATTAATTTGTTTTTCAAATATTGCCTCTCCTCCATTCTGTCTCTTTTCTCCCCTTGGAACTAAGTCAGACATGTAGAGTTTCTTATTTTATCCTCTATCATATTTTCCATCCCTAAGGCTGCATTCTTGGTAATTTCTTTAGAACTGTTTTCCAATAAACTAATTGTCTTCAGAGCCCAGTCTTCTCTTTAATTCATTCACCAAACTTTTAACTTCAACAGTTTATATTTTTATTTCTAAAAGTCTTATTTGCTTCTTATATAAATCTGCCTAGTCATTTTGATAGTCTGCTGTTGCTTGCTCATTTTTGTGGTTCTTTCTTTTAATTAAATATCTTTCTTACACTAGTAACTTTGTATCCTGTATCAGGTAATTCCAATATCTAAAGCACTTGGGGGATACAAATTTGTTTCTTTTTTTACAGAAGTTCCTTATATATGTTAGATCATCAGTGGCCAATAGAAATATAATGTGAGCCACGTGTAATTTTAAATTTTCTAGTAGCCATTTTAAAAAAGTCAAAAATAAACAAGTGAAAATAATTTTAATATATTTTATTTAACCCAATCTATTAAGGTTCTCCAGAGACATAGAGCAAGTAGTGAGTGTGTGTGTGTGTGTGTGTGGAGAGAGGGAGAGGTTTATCATAAGGAGCTGGCTCACACAGTAATGAACATTGAGAAGTCCCATGATCTGCAGTCAGTAGAGCCAATGGTGTAGTTCCAGTCCAAAAAACCAGCAGACTGGAGAAACAAGAGCTGTTTCAGTTGGAGTTCAAAGGCAGAAAAAGACTGATGTCTCACCACAGCAGTCAGGCAGGAGGAAATTCCCACTCACTCATGGGAGGGTCAGCCTTTCTGTTCTATTCAAGCCTATGATTGGATGAGGCCCACCCACATTAGGAAGGGCAATCTGCTTTACTCAGTCTACCAATTCAAATATTAATCTCATCCAAAAACACCCTCAGAGACAACACCTGAAATAGTGTTTGACCAAATATCTGGGTACACTGTGACCTGGTCAAGTTGACACATGAAGTTAATCATCACAGCCATCATAGCCAAAGTATTTTTGTTTCAACATGAAATCAATATAAAAATTATTAGATTTTACATTTTATATGAAATCTTCAAAACCCAGACTGTATTTTACACCTCCAGCCCGTCTGAATTTGGATTAGTCACATTTCATGTACTCAATAACTGCATATGACTAGAGACAATTGTATGATACACTGTAGCTTGACTTTTTACACTTTTTAAAAAATAAATTTATTTTTTGGCTGCGTTGGGTCTTCGTTGCTGTGCGCAGGCTTTCTCTAGTTGTGGCGAGCAGGGGCCGGGCTACTCTTTGTTGTTGTGTGCAGGCTTCTCATTGCGGTGGCTTCTCTTTGTTGCGGAGCACAGGCTCTAGGCATGCAGGCTGCAGAAGTTGTGGCACATGGGCTCAGTAGTTGTGGCTCTCG